CCCGCGTTCTCCCAGATGTCCTTTCCCTGATGTACTTCAGGAGTCCAGCTGAAAAGTTTGAGAAACCAGTGAACTGGGCCTGAATTTTTTTTGCTCAGCTGCAGTTAAATGATTTGAGGGGATATCATTTCTAGCACACACATCAGAGTCCCATTTTAGCACCTCACCGATCCCTTGAGTGGCGTGTCAAGCAGAGGCCCTGGGTGGTCTCACATCTAACTGCAGCGATGCACCTTCATTTCCATTGACATCCATGGAGCAATAGGTATGCACTGCAGCTCAACAGAGTGCAACTGAGATGTGGGGCCTCCCTGCCTGCCTGTCTGCAGGAAATGAGCTTACTCTATCTTTGACAGCCATCGTGTTCATACGGCCCTCAAGCAGCAGGGCTTGGGGCAGGGCTTTCCGCCCCTGACTTTGGGTGGGCAAGCACTACTGCACTCACCCACAGCTCAGAGCACCTCTGTATCATGGTATGGGAGGAGGCATAGCTCAGAGACTCTCTTTTGAGGCAATCTTTAGGATCGTTTTGTCTAAATATGGCAATCCAAGGTTTTTCAAGCCACAAAATGTTAAAAAAAAAAAAAAAAATCTTTCTTTTCCTATGGCTTGGATTACTGCAGTGAATAACACAGGTTTGTAAATTCAAAGAGAAAAAAAAAAGTGAGAGTTGAGAAAGTAGCAGTAAATGTTCATCACCTGGTAACCCAGAAGAATTTAATTTTCTTCATCCATATCTGCATATCAGTTTAGTCTCCACTGTGCTAATTCAAGGCTTGAGCAGGCTGTGCTGGGAGGTTCAGTTACTGTGTGGTGAATTCTTTTTAGTAATTCAAAGGAATGCCAAAAAATCCACACTACAGTTTAAAAAGAAATAACCCTAAAAAGTAAATGGTGTTGTTTGCTGCCCTCCATCTGGTTAGCAAAGGTCATAAAGTGGGGTCCTTTGCTGGGACAGCTCGGTTTATGTAGCATATGCAGATTGTTATTTTGGCTTTAAGCCAAATCTGCATGATGTTTCCATCTTGCTTACACGATGAGGAGAGGTGTTAAGGCAATTTCAAGGGGCAGTTCTGTGATTTCATTCATATTTGTACTGAAGAAATTTTCAAGAGTATTTAAGATTAGAAAGCAATCTAAAAGTGTTAAAAAAAAAAAAAAAAAAAAAAAAAAAACCAGTAAAGTTGGCTTGTTTGATCAAAATGCTGAGCCTGAGGCCAGGCACAGTCCCTTCTGACAAGCAGTGTTTTGCAGCACTGCAGTTGCTGATAGTTACAGTGAGAGGCAAACCGAAAGAAGCGGAAAAATGTACGTTGCTGCTGTAGCCTTTCAGAGTGTGTGTGTTTCTGTCTGTCTGTGTGTATAGATATACACTCATGCATACATGCATGTAGTTGCATATATCTGGGAACCCTCTATTTCATGCCTACTGCATTTGCAAAGCCCAGACAGATTCAGCCCATGAGTGCACCAAGCTGCTTGCTTGTTCTGCCCTGGCAGTGCCAGCCCCAAGGGTGGCACGGAGCACCTGGCCACTGCCTGGCACAGCACCAGAAAGCCACCCCATGGTTAGTCCTGCCCTTGCCAGTCACCCCCCAGGAAAACAGCCCAGCGCCTTTCACCTTGTCATCGTTGGCAGCACTCCTGAGCCAAACACAAGTGCCTCTCTCTGCTGGAGGGAGCAGCCACCAAAGGGAGCTGGGGCCTTCAGAAGTGGCTTTTCCCAGTTAGAGTCCTGGAGGGACCGTATAAATAAAGAGCTTTTTCCAGTGATGTAAAAGAAGTTTTCTGTAACAGAAATAACCTATGTAAAATAAAAATGCAGTTGGCAAGCGTGTGAAGGCTTAGACTTAATAAATGAAATATTTAGTAGTGTATATTTGCTGCTGAGTTTATAAAGAAAACCAGACTGCAAAGCTGGTGAAAGCTGCCAACCAAGCACCAGAATGAGGAATTTCTTGAAGTGCTAAATCATCATAAGATGGCTTTGGCCTTCTAACCCAAGGACAAACTGAGTACAGCAATCCTTCCTTGAGCATATTTGTCTAATTTGGTCTAATGGCCTAATGCCCATCAACAACAACTTGAACAATTAAGAATTTTAGAAGATGAGACTTTTTTTAGTCTTTTCCAATCTATGGGTATAGGTAGTGTAGAAGAGAGTAAGGTCTTGAGGGAACCCAAGTGTTTTCACAAAAAAAACCCAAACATTTCACCCCATCCAGTAGTTGCAAGTAAGGCTTTATATGTTAATGTCAGTTTAAATGCAAATATTTCATGACTTTTCTTTTTTACTTCTTTTTTTATCTAGACAGCATATTAAAGATCACCTCTTAAGTCATTCTTAATTTAATTTTTGTAAATTTTAATGATTTTACTCTTTTCTATCTAAAATCGTATAAATTGATAATCTGTGAACAGTCTGTAAGTATACAGCATGTCTCAACATTACTAATGTAGTTAAAGAACTAAGAATTATAGATAGCAGGTTATCTAATTATTTAGGTATATGAGTAGAGACAGAGATCTCAGTGTTAAAGAGTTTGGTGTAAAAGCACCATTTAATCACAGAACAGCATGTATTAATTGTTACAAACTAATGAAAACCATTCTTCCTTTAGAAAATAAATTAAAAGTACAAATGCAAAATAAAATTAATGTTTTAAATCATTTTTTGTGACTCACAACAGCATTAAGTTTGGTAAGTTAGTCAACTATTCTCTTTTTGTATCATATCCTTCCAGTGTTACAAATTTCCCTGCTGTAATTGGTAAGTGAAAATGAGAGGAAAAAATACCTCTCTCAGACGCAACATTTTTCTTCTGCACCAGATGTGTGCACATAATAAAACCAAATGAAAAGCAGAATGTGCAGCCCAGCAGCACTTGCTGTCTTCTGTAGAATTATTAAATGAACAGCTTTCTGTTGCTTTTCTTTAGTTTTTCTCTACTCTGAAGTAGGAAAATGTGTGCCCATTGTCTGAAAAATAGAATGTGTTTATAGGTGTAGACACCCTAAGCTATGTGAGCATTAATCTTATAAAATGGAGAGGAAGAATTTCATGTTCACAAAACTGTTCTCTACCTTTTCACTGTACTTTTCCTGTGTAACCTGTTCTTCCTGTCTGGAGATCATTGGTGCCATGTTCACTAGGTGGATGTCTTGTATTGCCTGTTGAGGTAAATAGTTCTGCCTTTTTAAAGGCAAGCATTGCTCAACAACAACTAAAACCTCGGTTTGTTAACAACACTTTTTTATCACAAATCCAAAAACATAGCGCTGTTTCAGTTCCTCTTAATAAAATAAACTCTATCCCAGCCAAAACCAGTACACACTGGACCTGGTGCACATGGGAGCCTGAGGTTGGGCATGGTAAGCTGAATCTGACTTACAGGTGTGTTTTGTTGACACTTCTGTTGTTGCTGAAATGGTGGCAGCTACCAATGTATTTCCTTTCCTCTTTTCCATACCATTTGACATAGCAGAGTCTAGTCCAAAGAATGAAATGTTCTTTATAGTCTGCTTTCTTGTTTTTTATTTACAAGGCTTAGTAGTCAAATCCTCTTGAGTTCCTCCAATGTTCAGAACTGCTTTTTCAATAAGAAGTATGTCTCAATTTCCATATCCCTTCACCAGTTAAGATCCTCAGTGACTAGAAGGGTGAGGGAGTGACTCCAAGACAGCCTGGGAGGAGATCAGGGAGTTCTGGTTAGCAGCAAGGTGAACATGAACTATCAGTGTCCTGGCACCCAGTGGGCCAGAGAAGGGCAAAGAAACTGGTGAGGGGTCTGGAGCACAAGTCTTATGAGGAGCGGCTGAGGGAGCTGGGATTGTTCAGTCTGGAGAAGAGGAGGCTCAGGGGAGACCTCATTGCACTGTACAACTTCCTGAAGGGAGGCTGTGGTGCAAAAGGGTCTGGCCTCTTCTCCCAGGCAAATAGTAGGACCCAAGGAAACGGCCAGAAGTTGTACCAGAGGAGGTTTAGGTTGGATATTAGGAGAAACTTTTTCTCTCAAAGGGTGGTCAGGCACTGGAATGGCTGCCCAGGGAGGTGGTGGAGTCGCCGTCCCTGGCAGTGTTCAAGAGGCGTCTGGATGAGGAGCTGCAAGAGATGGTTTAGTGCTTGTGGTACTAGTAGGAATGGGAGGGTGATTGGACTAGATGATCTTGCAGGTCGTTTCCAACCTTGTGATTCTGTGATTCTGGGCCAACTGTATCCAGGGGTGCAGCAGGGCTAGCACTGCCAATGAGTGAGGAAAGCAGTTGTCCCATCTGCTCTGTGCTGAGGAGCCTCACCTTGAGCACTGAGTGAGGGTTTGGGTGTCACAGTTTAAGAAGGGATAAAACTATTAGAGAGTGTCCAAAGAAAGCCTTCAAAGATGGTGAAGGGTCTGGAGACCGGGACGTGTAAGGAGCAGCTGAAGTCCTTTGGTTTGTCCGGCCCAGAGCAGAGGAGCTGAGGCTTTATGGCAGTCTGCAGCTGTTTGTGAGGGGAGCGAAGGGGCAGCACTGAGCTGCTCTCTGTAACAGCAACAGGACCCGAGGGAACAGCATGGAGCTGTGTCAGGGGAGGGGCAGCTGGGGGTTAGGGAGGGGTTCTGCACCAGAGGGTGGAGGACATGGAATGGGCTGCTGAGGGTAGTGGGCATGGTCCCAAATGCTGGAGTTGAAGGAGCATTTGAACACGGCTCTCAGACATGGTTTGATTTTGGGTGGTCCTATGTGGAGCCCATGATCCTTGCGGGTCCCTTCCAATGCAGGATATTCAGTGATTCTCTGATGATTCTGTCTGCAATTCCAAATGCTATGTGTGAACTAGCCATATTTAAACATCTAAGCCTAACTTCAAATCAATAAAAATATTTACATTACGAAGGAGGCGGATTGAGGTCATTTGTACTAATAATGCAGTATGGCCATGCCTTAATGTTAATGAAAGAAAAAAGTTTACATGTGGTCTCATTAATCAGTACCTGCCATGTTGTTTGTTTTCTTTACAGAACATAGGAAACTTGGCAATCTGACTGTGACAGTGAAAAAGACCGTCCCCTCTCCAGAAGCAATACAGATTCTCTACCAACGTATGAGATACGAATATGAGTTTTATTACTATGTCAAAGAACAGTTCCACCTCCTAAAGCGCAAGTTTGGACTGAAGTCTCATACCAGGAAACCACGTCCCAGACCTGAGTTCTTCATTCCTTCTCCCCTGGAAACAGAGGAACCGATAGACGATGAGGAAGAAGATGACGAAAAGTGGCTAGAGGATATCTATAAAAGGTGATGGATGGAAGAGCTATCCTTTCTCTTCTGGTGATCCCTCAAGCTTTCTTAAGATTTTTTTAATTATTATTAAAAGTAATTCTTTAAGAAACTGAGTTAATGCGCAGCAGCATTTAAAACAGAACGAAACACAACGTTCCCATGTGTTGGGGCAATGGGGAGATACCTGGTTTTGTGGGTTTGAAGTTATTATACTGTGTTGGCTCTGTAGATTTCTTGCTATAGGGTATTTCAAGAGAGAATTATCTGTTGTCTATCACAAAATAACTTTTGGAGTACACCGCAGTCCTCTGGGCATCTGCAAAACATGAAATACATCACGCAGTATTGCAAAGTGGATTTTACAGATTCTCATCTCTCTCTTTCTCCAGAAGCAAGTCATCATTGCATAATACAGTGGCATTATCTACCGGAAATGAGAAGGCAGTGAGCCATTTGGGAAGAGTGCCTCTCTGCCCCGAGAGCACTGGTATTCATTCCACTGATGCAGTCAGAGCCTTTGCCACGTGTTCACATCTGAAGATAACAGGCTCAAAATTGGGTTAGATAATGGCTTCTGAATTTCTCAGTGTGGGAGGAGTGAGTCTACTATTCTGGCAAATTAATGTGAGTGGACATGAGGCGAGTTACAGAAACTAGATATTTTTGGTAAGCCCTTCTAATTCATACAGTAAAGAAAGTCAGTAAACAGCAAGAATGGATGAAGAATTTGAAGAGTTGGGACAGGTGATGTAAACTGGAGTTTTATTTCTTGCAGCGAAGTACAATTCTATTAGATTCTGAGGGAAAAGATACAGTACATGGTTTTTATGTTCAGGAAAAGTATTTGTAGGTTTTTATTTTTATTATGGACCAGAAATCTAAAAAGATGTAGTTAAAAAAAAAGGTCACTCAGTTAAAAAAAAATTAAAAGAGATGGAGCTCTGATTAAGTATAAGCATTGTTTCTGTAGTCACAGAATTTAATTGTTCTTGTATGAAGCAGCTGCCCCTACAGGCATCTGCCTTTTGTATGGCTAGAAATAAAATTAATAGTAAGGCTACACTCAAACTCTCTAGTTGAAATACTTCAGAATTCTAAAACAAAGAGAAGAAGAAGAAGCTTTGTAAAATTGTCAGCTCAGCGATGCATTGTTGCGAGATGCACTGTGAAAGTCTGCCCTTGTTGGTCACTGCAACTAGTAATGTCAGACAGTAGGCTGGGGTCAGAAGTGGGAGTAGCTCCCATGTGCAGTGTTTTCTAGATAAGTGTCCTGGGGCTCCTGGTGATGAGCAGCTCAGAATTGACTTCAATGGACAGAGCCCAATAGTATTAGAGTTTCTCAGTGAGGCCTTAGCCTTTTATGCATGCTTTTGCTCAGAGGAAGCTAACCAATACAAGATAACAGCAATAAGCTCCTGTTCCAGAGCACAGGAAAGCAGCTCCTTGCCAGGATGAGTCCCATTCAGTAACACTTCAGGAGTAAGGCTGCTGTGTCCAACTCACTCGTTTCTTCTGAAACGTCTGCTGGGCAATTTTGGCTGCTCTAGAGCAGTATGACTTCTGTCTGCAAGGTCATCCTTCAGTGTGAACTAAGAGGCAAAAGTTATCTTGTGATGGACGAGGCAAATAAACTCAGGCTAAGCTCAGATGTGTTTTGTCAAGAGTTTCCTCTGCCACAATCCTGCTGAGATCCAATACCAATGATGACCTGTTTCCATCACCAGTCAGTCTTTACTGTACGTACATACAGAGAACAAAAATAAAGAAGTGTAATCATGTTGAGAAAAGGTGTTTATTTGCAGAAAATGCTACATAGAAAATTCTATTCTCATTAACATCCCAAGTTGGTGGTAGAAATACACTACCAAAAGGGAGTACATTAAAGAAAACTGAAAGTGGCATGGATAACAACTAACCTATTAGCTAAAATATGAATCTGCTGCATTGTATATTTTAAGTGGTTTCTATGAAATTACATTGAAAGAGTAATGATGAGTTTACACACTGTGGAATTGTTATATCTTGGAAAGAATATTAATATTCTCGCCTCTCAGAAGTTCTATTTGACACTTTTTGCCAACGCTGTAACAGAGTAATCAGTCACTTAACACATTCCTGCAAGTTCACTGCCACTTACTGTTAAGTCTATTTTTATCTGTTTATTTAATGGCATCTTCTGCCATCACTACTTATAACCTAAATACAAAAACTGTTAAACAATTTACTTGCTAGGTTTTAATGTTGTTGTATTTTTCATAACAATTAACCTGGCCCCTCCTCCTTGGATGGTACTTTGTAAGTTTATCTGGCACACAGCATCTAAGATTCCTGATCCTACAGCTTACTTGTCTGTCATTAAACACATTGTACGTAATTGTTAAAAGGTACCTGTGAAGCTGGTTTATCTTTGACTTATTTATTGAAACTTTCCAACACATTCCAAATTTTAAGTTGCTCAGGAAGAAGTTGATTTAAAAGATTATATTTTGATCTGATTAATGTTTCTTATTCAAAGAAAAACATTGTTTTTAATCCTTTAGCCCACAACAGCTTTGTAGGAAGTGCCGTGCATGTACTTGTAAATCTTTGTTGGGAGAAAAAGGTGGTTGCTTAACATTTATGAAAGTAAGAAAATATATGTGTACTTCAGCTTAGCTATAAGTGAAAGCAAGTATATTTTGGGATGAAATATTCCTTAACTTATTCACTACCATCTCCTGAATTCTGAATAAGCCATATGACTCTATTTTTCAGTCCAGCGATGGTTAAAAATAAAACTTGTGCATTTCTTCTTAGCTCCATAGTCTGCTTGCTTACACTAGCTTCCTTGCCTGGGTGTACTGGCTGTGGGGACATGTGGAATGGCACCTGACGGAACAGGACTTTATGCAATCTAGTTTATTATCTAAAGGTTGGACTTTAGCAATGAGGTTGGGGCTGGCTGTTCCTGGGTTATTTTCTGTGTCCAAGACTGTCCAGAGTTGTGAGATTGAAAGCAAAATTATTTTGCTCACCTGACATATATGCAGTAAGTTTCCCAAAATGCCTTGTATCATCTGCTTTGTGGTTGCTAAGTAAGAAAGTCTTACGTAGAAAGAAAACAGCTTGGTTTCCATACAGCACTGTAGTTGACATAGTATTTGATAGCCAGGCTGAAAAAGCCCAAAAGTCCTAAGCAGTGCTATAATGCGAGTGAGTATCAGCTCACTCACACTGCAGAGAGAATCAAACATTGTTAAAAAGCAGCATTTGAAAAAAATAAATTTTAGTTTTAAGTTTCAATTACGGTGACAAATTGTTCATTTTTTTTCTGTTTAGCTTACTTCTCTTCCACATATATTGTTCTGGTGGTGTATGGCAAAGTCAGAGTTATATAAAATGTTCTCTATTTATATGTAGAGAAGTACCTCAGCAGAACTCAACATACGTGAAATTGCAAATATATTCGAGGTATTTCCTTGTAAATGAGTCTTTACCACTGTACCTTTCTGATGAATTGTTTGAATGTTGTAAAATGCAATGGTGCGTAGCATCATCAAAACAAAAAAATTACAGATTTTAAACATTGGAGACCAAAACTGTGGATATTAGCCTTTGAACTCTCCTTCTTTCCATATTTAATGCAATAAATAAAAATATTTAATATAATGGTACATTTTTTTACTAACAAAGGAAACCACACTGCATGCCAACTTGGATGCTCTTTATCAATCTTAAAAGCGTGGCCTGCCAAAGAATAGAACTCTCCATCTTATTAAAAAAATAAAGCTATGTAATTCACAGTTTAGGGTAATGGTGCTCTGGTCTTTTCCTCCATTTTAAGAAAGGGAACATCTGTGACATTAGACCATTGCCTAAAACAACAGCAGCAACATTTTCAAGAGCGAGGAGACTGTAGTACAATACCACAGCATTCTTTCTCTTTTATTTCTAAGGAATCGGCTTTTATTGCAAAGATTTGAGCAGACATACAAAACCTTGTCAATCTACCTGTTTGCATGAGCCAAGACCAAAGGTAGAACTGAGTGCTACACAGAAGTTTCAATCAGCAGACTTGAATGGAAAATGTCTTACCAAGGTTCAGAAGTGCCTGCTTACCACTGGTAACGTTACTGGGGCCACTTGCCATGTTACACCACAGCATCTCTGGGGAGTGTTTGCAGAACCAGGCTCTGCTTAGGTGCACAGAAGTATGGTGTGAAGTGTGCAGGAAGACAGCTCAGTGAGAAAGAGCCACTGGGTAAAAAAATGCAAAGTGTTGGAAGTAGGTGGAGGAATCTTATTTTGATGGTTAAAAGCTACTTCTTAGTTGTTCAGACAGCACAAACTAGCTGCTAATGTCTCTGTTGCAACCAAAAAGTTCTCATGATTTTTTGTTATTTCATCCAGAAATTGCACTGCAGCGTGAAGTGAACTTTAAAGATAAGTTAAAAGCTTTTGGAAACAGATGTGTGCTGTGGAAGCACGAGCGCACCATAGTGGTTTGTGTCATGGCAGTGGTGTGAGGGGCAGCATGCTTCAGGAGCTTGGAATGGGTTGGGAAAGGGGGAGATTTTCTGCAAATAGGTATTTGGCCTTTCAGACACTATTCAATGGTAAGGTTTGACCAATGGTATATTTAGATGTGGATTTTGAGTATAAACACGTGGATTTCCTTTTCTGAGTGCATAAAGGAGGAATGCAAGCCTGTTTTTGCATTTAACTGATTGTAGTCTAAGTTAGCTGTCATCTATGGGTAAGTAATTACATCGGTGTCAGCCAGGCATGGTAAGAGCATGTTTTATTCAGACTTTCACCATCCTTCAGTTCCCATCCTCATACCCAATGGGCAGAAAGGAGAATAGTGAAGAAACCTGCTAAACTGTGGGAGAATCTGTGCTGTGAAAAGCAGAGATCAGCAGTAGATGGAGGCAGTGCTGTTCAGAGTTAAGAATAGCAGTGTGAACACTAGGATGATATAGAGCATCCAGCTGAAGTGTCACACAGCATGCTAACTGTCCTTATATATCTTGGGCTATCTGGAAAACTTGAGACTGTGGCTTAAAATGAAATGCTTCTTCAGATGTGTTTTGTATTCAATTAGCATTCTTTCGGCTTTTTCTATATGTTTTTCTTTATGTTCAGATTACTGCCTTACCTAAAAAGCTTGGCAGAGTGTGAACACACAGCCTATACCTGTATCTGATGTGCAGGAGCCAATCCAATACAAAGGTTTCATCCTTCAGCAAAACTCTCCAGGCTGCTAGTAAGCTGAGTGAAATGAATGTGCGTCAGTGAAGTGGTGCCTAAAAGGAAAGCACTTTTCAAATGCCAAGACAATACAGGATTCTGTAGATAACGTCAGGGCTCGTGGGAGTGCTGTCAGATAGCAAAGGCCAGTGGCATCTCCCAATTTTGAACTCACGATTGTCTGCAGTCCAGGTGCAGGAAAGATGTAGAGGCTGTTACAGTCTGTGCCAGACACAGGAGCAAAAGTGCTTCCCATGGCACATGGAGATTTCTCCATCAGGAGCCTCCTGTCTAGCTTGTGTGGTGAGAAAGGAGAATCAACTGTATGGTTGCTGTTCTCTTCACTTATTCCCAAAAGAAGAAAAGATCCTTAAAATCACACTGGAGAGATTTGCTGGAGAGATTTGCTGAGAAGTAACAGTGAGGCATCTATGCATCCATGAGGAGCTGCAAGCCTTTCCTGTTTTGCATTCTCCATTTGTTTTGTGTTTGAACAAACAATAGATCTTGTTAGCATGTTTCCCAAAGACTGTCTGTGTAAGGTATTTCTGCATGAACCGTACGGTCTGAGCATCTTGGAAATGATTAACATCTTTATCCTTTTGATCCACAGTGGAGGTAAAGAAGTGCTGTTATCCCCATTTCATACGTTGGGAATGGATACAGCCAGTGGGTAAGTGATATTCCCAACACTGCACAGGAGAGTTGTGAAGAAAACACCGATGACAATTTAGTCAAGTGTCTTAGCCCTTGAACCTTCTTTCTGTCTAACATCGGTCCAAGATTTCAGAAAGCAAAACAAGTACCATGGAATTTTTTAGTTTACTTATCTTTTCCCTAAAACTTGCAAAATTCTCAGTTAACAACCTAAATATGAAAGACTTTTCAGCTGTCAAGCTAATATTTATGTCCTTTTGGGACAATGGTTATTTCTAATCTTACGTATTTGGATACACAACAGATAGCTGCAGAAGTGGCGTGTCTGTATGTTAGCTTTATGTTTGGGAAAGGTGATCCTGTCCTGATAAGAAGAGATACAAGGAAGGGCGGGTGGATGAATTTACATCTGGTGGTGTTAGTCATTTCTCAGGGCATGGTCACTTCTTCTTAAAAAGTCATCTAATCTGTTTGCGTACACAGTCTAAATCGTTTTTTTTTTCCTTCTGTTTCCAACAGTGCTTAGAAGCCCAGAAGATGAAGCGATGCCTTTCCATTCAGCCACCAACACCAGCATGGAGTGAGACAACAGGCCCTGCTCTGCTCCCCACACCGCTGGCTTGGTGTGGGGCACTGCAGGCCCGGCAGCCTCCAGGCAGGGTGCAGGCCATGTGCCTCCCTGCTGACAGCCCCGGCACTTGTCCCTTGTCTCGCCCAGCCTTGTTGCTGTGCCTCGGCAGTGCGCTCTGTGGAAGTTTCCCTTGTGTCTTCTGTGAGCACCTTCGGGATGAGTTCAAGCACAGATGTAATCCCCATTCCTCTGCAGAGTGCTTTGTGAAGCTGTGCTCTGGCCTGTGGTACTGGAGCACAGATGCTGAGGTGAAGCCCATTCTGGAGGTGTCACCTTGACCTCTGCTCCAGATCCAGTTTCTGCACTGAGTACTGGAGCCAGCCATGGCCTGCTTCTGTAGAAATAACTGAGGCTTAGCCATGTCAAATCTGTCCCCTCTGGCTCGGGGCAGGAGGTTGAAATGTGCTGGCAGGTGAGAGCACCAGGGTGCAAACAGGTCTCGGCAGCACCAGCCCTCAGATGAGAGCACAGACTGGGTGTCAGCAGCAGCCCTGAAAGCTGGTGTCTGGGGAGAGTGAGAGACCAGAGCCACTTTCTCAGTTGTAGCTTTCTGGTGGGTATTTCTGCCAAATTTCCTTTGGACAACTTTCTGTTGGAAATGTCAGCACTCGCTGTGGGAAAAACCTTTGTTCCCGCACTTTCTGGGATGAAAAACTGGCAAGCGGGGCCCAGCAGCACCTCTATTTTAGGGAGGCTGGGGCACTGGGGAGGAGCAAGGCAGCCCAGGGTCTGCTGCATGGGGCTGAGCTCCAGGCTGCCTCTCACGCAGGGCTGCACTGATGGAGGACAGCACAGCTTTTCACAATGGGGTCTCTTGTCCAGAAATTCCGTTGTGAAAGCTGCCTGAATTCTCCACATAGCTGAAGCTTCCCAGCAGGTTTTGCCCGCAAGAGCATGATGTGGACCATCGGTGCTGGCTGGAAACTGGGCTTTTGAGCGGCTCCACAATCCCACCCTTGTCAGTCACGCCACTTTGGTCTGTGCATGGGGCTCTTTGTGATAAATCTCACTGGAATTTGGAAACTGTTCAGCAAATTTGACCTCTGCTTTGTTTTATAAATATCACAGTGTCAAGCAGCATCGTGCATGCCTTATCACTCAAAAACTGGGAGAAGGGGATGGAATTATGATGCAATCAGCTCTGATTTTCCAAAACAGTGTCTTTTGAGTCAAAGGAAAAGTTCTGGGCTTTTCAGAAACGGAAGCAAATGTCCTCTTTGCCTGGGGGAAGGGGGCTCTTCTGTAGCCTGCTCTGACCCCACACATGCACGGACCGTCATCACCTCAAAGGAACCTAACGTGTTTTTGTACGATGGCAACCAGCTCCTGTGAGGAAGATGGTGTGAGAACTGCCCCATTTCTCTGTTCTCACTACAGGAAGGGGAACGGAGGCAGCAGCAAAACCTTCTCCAAGACCAGCTCTAATCAAAGCTAAGAACTTCTAACTGCTTTGCAAAACAGACAGAAATGTGTGAAGTAGATAGAAAAGCCCACCAGATAATCCAGAAAGTCCAGGAGAGGGTGAACAGGGAAAATCCATCTAGCCAGTCAGCATTTTTTTAGGAGAGCTGCATGCTTTGCTAAGGTGAACAAGGTCAGGCCCTTTCTCCCTAAAAGAAAGGCACGTGGTCCTGTGGTGTCCTGTGATATGGGTAAGTTGCAGTGTTGGTCATAGCACTGTCCCTGGTGCGGACAAGCACACAGAAGCACGGCTGCCTTGGGAGTCCCGCACAGCTGGCAGCCCAGCTGAATCGCTGTGTGGCCTGGCCTAATTGCTTAAAGCTTTCCTCCTCTCCCTTGCTGTGAGAGCTGGAGCAGAGTATTTATCTACTCTGCAAAACTTTATGGGAATTGGTGCAGTTTTGTAGAATTCCTGAATGACGTTGATCACAATAGCTGTGGCAGAGCCAGGCTTCCTGGGCTCAGATGTTTGTGATGGTTGTCTTATTGTCATGCGGCCTGCTTAGCCAGGGCCTCTTTGATTCAAAGAGAGCAGAGCTTGTCTCTCTGCCCCACCTTCCTTTCCCAGCACGTGAAAGGAGCCAAAACATGCCCTGTTGTGTGGAGGGATCGGTGCAGGCTAATCTATGGAAGCCTCGTGCTGAGGACCAGGCTGCCTTGATGTCTGGAGTGTTGCCAGCACTTCCTTCCTCCCTCCCCCCAGTTCAGTGTAGATGAAACAACCTCCTATATTATAAAAAAAAAACAGCAAGCCTAACAAGACCAAAGCATCCATTATTTTTCCAAAAGGTGTTAGCCCAGTGAGTCAAAACATATGGCTCCCGTTCCTGTTTGCATTTCACAAGAGGAGAATGACAGAGAAATGGTGTGGATGAGCCTTGAAAACTTCTCCAAGTATCTGACCTGTGGGGAAGCACTGGGAGTCCCAGCTTGCTGGGACTATTGGCTGGAAGGGTTTGGATGGATGCTGTTGTCTGGCCAGGGGCAAAGAAGACCAAGCAGGGGTGCCACCACACAGGGCATGACAGTCTGGAGAACTCAGGTGGAACAGGAACAGGCTGGAAGGCCCCTGTGTAGCACTGTGGTTAGGCAGCCAGCCCATGATGGGGTATGGGGGGAAGTGGTAATAGCGGGGCACAGAGGACAGATGCTCTCCATCCAGGTGCTGAGGGACTGGCAGCCATAGCAGAGCTCACAGTAAGCAGCCACAGCCGCAAGCACTAGGCACACTTCTTGCAAATTCTTAGCAGAAGGTCCAGGTGATGCTGCTTAAAGCCTCATCGGCTTTCAGGCGCTGGAGCCAACCCGAGGGCTGCTGAGCAGCCTCTGAAATCAGCACGGATCTCGTGCTCCACAAAAAAACACGTGCCGACTTTTCAAAGAATGCACTTGTTTATAATACCTCTCCGCAGCAGGCGGGAACGGGGAAAGGCGACAGAAGGGCTCTCATCTCCGGAGGCGGATGTCACCCCTGGCAGGTACAGCCGTCCCGCCCCACCCCGCCCCAGCGGGCGCTAGGGGGAGCCGCCGGCGCGGCGATGAGGTGCCGTGCGGGCCTGGGGCGCGGGGCCGGGGAGGGACCGCGTCCCGCTGACCGGCACCGAAAGCGCCGAGGTGTTGCGAGGTGCGCTCGCCCTCAGCCCTCTGTCAGTTATTTTGGTCAGGATGGCACGTGGATCCCGGGACAGGGGCACAGAGAGATTAGGTGGTTTAAATCTTATGCCTCGGGCCCCTCTCCAAGGAAAAGCTGCTGCTGACTTACAGCTGTCTCGTGCTCTCTGTGGAATGAGAGGGAAGTCCATTCAGTCTGGTGAAAATAAACCCACCGTCATAGCTGGCATTCTCGTTGGTAGTCTCAGTGCGGAGGCCAAGGATTTGAGGGCAGTGACACATGAGGCATCTCACTCCTAAAGAGCTTGATCTGGTTTGAAACGTGTCATCAGAAAAGCATGAGGAGCCTTGCGCTCCCGCTGTCAGTACAGTGCTTGCCCTCTGCACACAGCCTGGCGTTCCTTTTCTGTCCTGTCCATCTGGCACACAGCACGGGGACCATTTACTGTACACTCATGTTAAAGGAGAAGCACGCCCGCTTATCTCCCACTGAGCTCAAGGACCCGTCAGCCCTGCACCTAAGGGCAATGGCAATGGAAAGGCATTTTCTCCTGCAGGATAAAAGGCTGTGCCCACCCTCGTAATCTCCCCTGTGTCCTTGCTCCTTCCTGTTCCTCTCCTCCTTTGTGCTGGGTGCTGCAGAAATGAAGCAAATATTTTATCTGTTGCTCTTCATATCATTTACAATGAAGCTCCTATGAGATGTTGAACAGGAATTAAGCCTCACTGAGGAATAGCTCGACCCACTGACTGGCTCCAGGCGCAGAGATCAGCACGGTGCCACAGTTCACAGGAACACAGCAGCCACGTGGCCTGTGTGTGCTCTGCCTTCCCTGTCAGCCCAGGATCAGGACTGAGTCCAAAGGCCATCCCAGGCAAGAAGTGCTGACTGTAATAAGGATGATGTGAGAAAGTGGAAGCTTTCATCATAGATGCCTGGAGTTCTTTCTTTGCTGTGTTATCAACAGTTCTGAGAGGTTATACAGACTCTTCATAAAGGGTGAAATCTGCTTTGAATGGTTTCATACTGTTTCCTCCCAAATTCATGTGATACGATATACATAACTGTGGAGCCCAGCACACAGACTGCATCCCACACCCTGAGACCAGGAGGTACAGGAAACAGGCATGGCAGCAGCTGTTCCACCTGAGGGCCTGGAGCACACCAGAAGCCCTCCATAAGGGTTGTTGTCCCACACAACTGACTCGCTGCCCCACATCGCCACTGCAGCGGCGATCTCACATTTCACAAGTGTTTCCCTGTGGAGCCCAATCCAGCTGCCAGTGCCTCTGTGGGTGAAATTAAAGAGGTGCATC